GAGAGAGAGAGAGACAGAGAGGGAGGCTCACAATGTGAAGCCCCGTGTATGAAGTAGAAAGCTTACCTGCATCATAAAAAAAAACCACCATGAAAGAGAAACTCCAGCCTCAATGACAAAAACCCCCAATGAAAACCAGAAACCTGAGGACTTCACATATGGGTAATTGTGATTTCGGTTTATCAGTTCGGTAATAATGGGTCTTCCAGAAATTCAATAAGCTAACGCAAAAGAACCATGGATCGGATCCAAAAAGTGCAGAGTATGGAAAAGAATGAGAAATGGGTGGGAAACGTACCGCTGAATTGAGCAGAAAAAGTTGAAATTGGGGGAGCACTTTTACTTCGATGGTCTTACTGTTATTGATTTTGGGGTAGAGAGAGAGAGAGAGAGAGAGAGAGTTTACGAATTTGGTGGCCTATAGGAATGGCTGAGAAAGTGGGGGGAATGGCGAAAGGAGGAAGGACAGTTAGCGTCGATGGTGTGGCACAGTGAGGAGGTGGCCTTACTTTCTTCTATTTTCTTTTCTTTTCCTTTCCTTTCCTTTGTCTCTCTACAATTTAGCACTGTTGGAGGTAGAGGGAGAGAGGGGGGAAGAGACTGTAGTGTACACAGCTCACGTGTCCTGGATAATCTCTCCTCTTTCTCTCTCTCCCTCATTTAAGCCATTAAAAACATGGTGATTAGCTCACCCTTAAACCAATTGTTTCATTACATATATGGAAAACAGCTCGATAGGGCCCCATGACTCATTAAAAATTACAATTCAGGTGTTGAAAAATCTTTAAATTAATTATCTCTGTTGTGAAAAAAAATTAGGATTTTAAGTTATGAAAATAGTGGATATTGCAAGAATCATTTAGACCATCTATTTCACCCTAAAATAAATGTTAACAGGTCAGCAATATCTGTATTATTTTTTAAGTTTTAAATTTTATTATTTGTGTTGAAAATTGATTTTAAAACCGTCGTAATGATTTTTTATGACCAAAATGCTTTCCGGATGAGGATGTGAAAAGAAGCTTTATTTTGTTTTCATAAGATCTAGTCCCTATTAAAAACTTCATCCTCTATGTATATATAAATGGAAAATTTTTATGCACAACTAGGCTTTACGATGGAAAGTAAATCCACACTACAAAAATCCATTAGAAGATGCATTCCAAAAACCTTCATACCCATGTAAAAATAGATTTCAAATCTTAAAAATTAATGTATCTTGAAATATGTTATTCAAGCTAGTGATTTCTAAGTGTATATGGATCCACCCAGTGTTTTAAAACCCGAATCACTGGGGAGGATTATTCACCTATAAATTTGCATCAAAATACATGATTGGCAATTTGGATCAGGTTTAGATCAGTCTAAATTGGTGATAAAAAAAATTAAAAATTAAAATTAAAAGTGGTGGTGGAGATTTTAGAGACCTAAAAAAAAATTAGACAAGCTTAAAAAAAAAAAAACATACATTTGGAGTGGCACTTTTAGAGGTGAACTAGGTCGTGACCCATATAATCCCAGAACTGATTCAGCCCCAATTCCTGACCGATTTCCATCGGCATCGGTGATCCGGATTGAAAATCTTTAAAACTCTAGTTCCACCAAATGTGGAAATCTGAATTGGTGATAAAAAAAAAAAAAAGTAGAAGTAGCGGTAGAGATTTAAGAGACCTAAAAAAATTAGACAAGCTTAAAAAAAGGAAAAAAATATAACGAAGGAGCACTTTTAGAGGTGAACCAGACCGTGACCCATATAATCCCAAAATGAATTCAGCCCCAACACCTTACTGATTTCCATCGGCATCGGTGATCCGGATTGAAAATCTTTAAAACTCTAGTTCCACCAAATGTGGAGTTTCCAAATTTCATAATCATAAGAGAAATAACTTTTCAAGCCATTATAAATTTCCCTAGAGTTCTATTTTTCAACATATTTTTTAAGGTGCGGTTTTACTTTTTTAACATAAAGACTGAGCCACCCTCTACAAAATATCTTGGGTGTTTGCCTCAACAAAAAATAGCATGTTGCTTTTGGGGATACGAGAGAGAAGATGGTGAAATGCATAATAAAGAGTCAATGGTGAGAATGGAAACTGGGGACATAAAAGAAACTTTTGCAGAGACTTTTGCTCTTTGGTGATCTTTCTTTGCCCAAAGAAAGCATTCTGTAAATTATATATAACTTGTTTCTATAAAAGAAAAAGGAGATTTAAGACCTTCTAGAAGTGTCCAAGTCCATGGTAAATTAATCGATCGCTATATTTGAGTAACTGTTATTTGAAAATTACTATAACTGAATGAATATGTCTTCCCCCCCCCCCCCCCCTCCATCTTCCTTTCCTTTAAATTTACTTGGGATAATTGTGTACGTTTGTTTTGTTCATGATATATTTTCACTTGAAAAATTTAATTTATGTGGTTAGGTATAGGAATATTTTTACACTAATCGATCTCAATGCATTATTTCACGTCAATTGGTATGAAAATATTTTCATCCTTAACCACATGAGGGATATTTTTTACGTGAAAATATTTATCAAGAGCAACATATTTATTAGTTAGAGCTAGCAACGGCTGGCCCTAGCCCGGCCCTAATTCCCATAAGGCCAGCCCAGGCGCTACTCAGCCTTGATTGGGTGAAAGAGGCCTTGGCCCAAGGCCGACTTTAACTGTAACAGGGCTACGCCATCCGGGCATAAAAAGCAAGAAAGCTTAAGGAAAAAAAAAGAAAAAAAAGAGAGTCGAGCCAAACCGAACTGGATGGGTCCTGTTATGGTCCCGGCTTTGCTTAGTCCTCAGGATACATTTTGTGGCCCAAGCTCTAATTTTTAGGGTCGGGTGACCCGACTGGCCAGACTTGACCAGGCCGGGCCACCCGTCCATTGCCACCCCTACTATCGGTAACATTTTATTGATGCTAATAGCATTACTTAGTGACCATTTTTAACATTGAGAGAGAGAGAGAGATTGATGGATTGGCCTCGCTCATTTATGAGAGAGAGAGAGTTTGGGCTTGCTCATTTATTTCGCATCGATTTTCTAAAAGATATTGGGTCCCTTTGTCTACCAAGTTGAGGTCAATAACGCTATCATAGCGTTGCCCACCACCTTTGCTGTTTGGGATTTTCGTGTCCTTTCCATGTAGGGTGATCCCTCTCTGTATCTCCTCCGGTCTTTTTCACTACGATAGATATGCACCTCCAAACCAGACAACTAACTCTCTCTCTCTCTATCTCTCCTCATATGAATTCACTCTTATAACTGATGTTAGGCACTCACAGAGGTGTCCAGGGCATTATTAGTACGGGTTCGGTGTGCTATGTTGTTTGCAGATATAGCAAGATGAACAATTTGTTTCTCATTACACTCATTTCATGGAAAAATCGCAGGATTTTTACTATTATTGTCCATCCAGGAAGGATGAGATCGTTTGGGAACTTATAATAAGTCAGGATTTCGTGGTGAGTTCACTGTTGTACTGTGAAATGACAGACTTCGACATGCAGGTCACTTTGCATCCAGGATTTCAGAACTCCCTATTCTCAAGGTCCAAGATTTTGCAAGGGTAGGAAATTGCATTATTTGTTATATCGAATGTATTCGAATTATTCTACTTGTTATAGAAAAGTATATAATGATATCGTTTACCTTTGGTACAAGGTGGTCACAATTAATCTTGACTATTAGATGTGAAATTAAATTGTTACATTTATTCCATTGACCAAGCTCAAATTTCAAAAAAAATTTCTCAAATTTTGTGACGCACTTAAGCTATCAGATTTCACATCGGATAGTTGTACATAATTGTAACCACTTTGTATAAAAGGTTAATGGTCTCGTTATATACAATCCCAAAATATCATTTTGTATTTTGTGAGTTTTAGTTTAAAGTCAAGGATAGACTAGAGTGGTGCACAGTCGTATAATCAACGAGTAAAATTACGTATGGAAATTTGGTTGCATAGAGGGTATTCGGAACACCGGAACTTAGATTTCTTTGAGGTATTTTGGTCCTTGAGCTGCGAGTTTTATTTAAATTATTATTTGATGTAATATGGCAATAGTTGTTGATGATATTTTGATTAATGAAATAAAAAATTCCCTCAGTAGTACAGAATACCCCTACTCGTCATTTTTAGACCAAAAGAAACAAAAAAAAAACTTTTGAAGGTATCTCATTGGAGGTGAGAACATTGAAGCTCAAGTCCTAGCAACCATCATAGATTGGGCCACTTTCTAGAATGATTTTTTAGGGTTGCAAAAGGCAACATCATTTCTAGTTTTGGGAGGTTGCCCAGAAAGAAGTCATATAGCAACCCTGGAATGGTGAAGTTACATTTTTATGGAAGCTTAACTTCAGAATTTGGTTGGGCTGGGATTGGTGGACTACAAGGGATATGGCTCATTTATTAACTTATTAATGCCTTTGTATTCATTGTACAACCAACAAGTTAGAGGCTGGTGTAGACACCCCTCTGAATTTTAATTTTATCTCTGAATTTTAAAACCCTGAAGTATATTATCACAATACACCATATAATACATTGGTCCATAGTCCAAGCCATAATATTCTTAAGACATCCCAAATATTTAAACTTAAGAAATCAGATATTCCCTAGATGTTCCAAACATTTTGAATACCTCATTTTAAAAAATCATATATTCCCAAATCATAAGATGTTAGAAACCGAGTATGTCAGTATTCTCAAATTTCCCTGGAAACCAAGTATGTTAGAAATAGCTAGTATTTATAATTAGGAAGAAAAAAACAGCATATTGCAGTCTTAAATAAGTGTTTAATTTTGATTAGACAACCACCATTGGACTCAACACGATCTCTCGAGTATTTGGTTCGCCCTGACCCAACCCTCTTTTTTTTTTTGTTTTTTTTTTATTTTTATCTTGATTTTACATAACTCGGCAAGGCTCAGATAAGGCTAGGGCCAAGCCTAGACGGAGGCTTTTTTGGTTCGATTAGGGTTGGGCCAGGCCTAACTTGGCCCTATGGGTACTAGGCCTGGCCAGGTCCATGCCCCATGCCTAGTCATGCCTAGAGAGAGAGAGTTGCATTAAGCATTAAGGGCAGCTTGGAGAGAGAATTGTAGCAAAGTTGTCGGCAAACATATCGTTTGTCGCCATTGTCAGCAAATGTGCCCCGAATTGTTGTTAGGCATAATGACCTGGATTTTCTATGACCTAGCAAGAGTTATTGATGGTGATGGGCTGATCCGGAAGATATGCATGTGAGAAGAGGAAGATAAGAGACAGATATGCTTACACACGTACACTTATGTATGATCTTTAAACCAATGTTTTTAAGGATATATAATATTAATTTATTTTCTCTATTTAGAATAGGCTCCAAGGCCACTAAACCTTTCTCTTTAGAACTTAGGCTTGTTGGCTTTTCACTCTAAATGATTTCCCTCTCTAGAATAGGCTCTTTAACCTCTAAACCTCTCCCCTACCAGACCCTTAATGAGGATATAGTCTCTCATCTTTTTATTTTTACTTTTATTTTTAGGATTTATTTATTTTATTTTCCCTTTTCGCTGCATCGATTGGTAACAGGCTTAAAAGTTTCATTCTTCCAAGTGTTATCAAAACCTGCTCTTATAATCAATGAAATATTACCAAAATTCATGGAGAG